ACTTACACATGTATATTCATATATACATGATTCACACATCCTTATCTCACTATTAGAACCGCCACTGAGATTGTCGTATATGCAGGGGACCTCTATAGTAGTCTGGTGTTGTATCTCGAGAAATGTCGTAAACGCTTTCCAGATTAAGCAATCCTGTTTGCCTATCTACAGTCGCTCCCCCCACACACAGTTGTTTCACATGCGTGGTTTGAATTCTACAACACATACTTTCATACGAGATACAGCACACACTCTCTCTTACAATTAATCCGTTTCAATGGACTCAAACTTACCTGAAGTATCCCACAAGTCTACAAGTGTGGCCAGGAATGCGTCTGTATAACTAAAAGCCCAATATCAAATTAATTGCTTACTCAGCACCAACACTAATCTACTGCTTACTGTGCACCAATACTAGTGTATTGTACAACGAAGCACCAATACTAATCTATTACTTACTAAGCACCAATCTTTTCATTACTAAGCGCCAATACTAGTATATAGCATAACTAAAGTGCCACTTATCCACTTATGGTCAGTATATCGTGCATCAATACTAGTGTATTGTATAACGAAGCACCAACACTGATCTATTGCTTACTGTGCACCAATATTGGTATATAACATAACTAAAGTGCCACTTATGTTCTGTATGCTGTGCACCAATACGAGTGGATTGTATAACCTAAGTGCAGTGCTTATGTTTCGTTTGCTTTGCAGGTGGCGATCTCCCGATGTCTGATGTTGTGCTGACCAGAGACATCTTTGAGTATGACGACAAGGACAGCTATGTGTTTGTGGGTGAAACTATGCTCGGCTTGGACTGCTTGCTGGAAGGAGACAGGTATCACTACTACTACTACTATATATATATATAGGTGTGTGTGTGTGTGCGTTGCGGTGAGTTCGCTATCTAAAATGTGTGTTCTATATCTCCAACCTACTCACCACAGATTTTCATATTTATTTAACCATGCCCGACACTTTAACTTCAGACCTGCTCCAATTTACAACATTTGCGTTTTTAGAATGCACCCAAATTGCTTTTTTTTTTGGTCATCTCAGGGATTCCACATTCTATTTTTAAACTTGTTTTTCCAAAACAAATCGTTGTTGCTATCTCAGAGAAGCTGTGAGCGCAGATTTGTATCCGACGAAGAACTTCGAAGCGCAAATGATGTTGGAAATACTCAGGAATAGAGCACACGAGAAGAATGTATGTATTAGATACGAGCCTATGTATGAGACTGTAAAGTATGTATCAGCTAGAAATCCATGTATATGATTAATGTATTTATATCTACATATATATATATATATATATATATATATATATATGTGTGTGTGTGTGTG